AATATCCGATCAGACAGGGATAAATCAGAGCTACAGGTCAGCCACACCTGGGCACAGGCTTCCATCCCTGACCTTCTGCTTTTCTCTTTCTAGAAATTTCATGGAAGTCCTTATCCAAGTCTTTAGCTTCAAGTAATATACTGACGATGCCCCAATTACATCTCTAGGATATACCCCACTCCCACATTCCAGGCCCTTCTCCCAGTTGCCTATTGTGTGTCTTCATTTGAATGTGCCACGAGCATCTCAAACTCAAAATGTCTGAATCTGAATTTACCCAAAAAAGGGAAAACTAGCATACAAAATTGTCCCGATTCCTATTATGTGTTTATCTTAGTGAATGGTGCCATTCTCCATCTGGTTGCCCAAATAAGAAATTACAGGCATTTCTCTTCTCACTCAAACAGTGCCCTAAATTCTGCCTCTTTCCTAATTCCTCTCAAATATGTCTCCTCTACTTCAGCCCTGTTCTCTTGTCTGTTGCTTCTCCAGTGCTTAGAATGTTTCCTGGCACATGGTAGGAAGTCAGTAAATATTTAGTGAGTAAAAGAACAAACGAAGCCGTTGGCCCTGTAGGAAACAGTTAATTCAGGGCATAGACAAGAACTTAAAAGACATTTTAAAAATAAATACATTTTGGGAAACATTCGAGAGGAACTTTTATCCATTAAGCAAGGACAGGCTGCTATGAAAAAGGAACAGTCTGAGGAAAAGAACAATTTCTTGGAAGTAACAAATAAAAAAAATGGCAATGGGCAGGCTGAGTCATAAAATTGACATAGCAGAACACCTAATTAACAGTCTGGAAGAGAAAGTGAAAAAAAGATCTCAGAACATAGTGCAAAATGGCAGACAGAAATCACAAGAAGAGTTAAAACACGGAGGATAGATCCAAGAGGTTGAATACTTTCTTAACAGAGTTTTAAGAAAGCAAAACAGATACAGTGGAAGTAAGACAGTAATAAAAGAAATAAAAGAACATTTCCATGAGCTAAGAGGAAAGAACATTAACATTCAGATGGAAAGGCCCACCAAGCACTAAGCAGAATTAAAAAGAAAAGCAGAATATCTACTGTATTTTATCAAGTCTCAGATGCCACTGGTTGTAAGACACACTATTATTTTATGTACCACTAGCAAGGAAAAACTGCTTTCAATTAAATCGTGACATACACACCAACTGTAAGACATCTCAATTTCAAAGATGTTAAAATGCTGAGTGCAACTGGAAATATGTGTCTTAGAATTGATGAAAACAGTAGGTACGTCCTGGTGAAATTTTAGGTCTCTAAGAATTAAAAAGAGGGGAAAAGAAAAGTTTATCTACAATGGAACAAAAAAAGGAAACACTAATCTTCTCATCAGGGACACTGATTGCTACAAGAAAATAAAGCAAAGTTTTCAAAAGGAAAAAAAATGTTTGAGCCCTAATTCTTATATTGATTATATCAATTGAGTATGTAAGAAAAACAAAGATATTTTTGAACATGTAAAAACTCAAAAAGTTTTTCATTCACGGAACCTGTATGAAAAAAAATATTGGGGCTGGCCCCGTGGCACAGCGGTTAAGTTCGAGTGCTCCGCTTTGGCGGCCTGGGGTTCGCAGGTTTGGATCCCGGAGGCGGACCTACACACCGCTTGTCAAGCCATGCTGTGGCAGGCGTCCCACATATAAAGTAAAGGAAGATGGGCATGGATGTTAGCTCAGGGCCAATCTTCCTCAGCAAAAAGAGGAGGATTGGCAATAAAAGTTAGCTCAGGGCTGATCTTCCTCACCAAAAAAATTAAAAAATAACTCGAGAAATATTCTAACCAAACAATACGCAGGATGATATGGACACAGGAAAAAGAAGAAACCAGGTATGACTCAAGAGTGAGGGAAGCTAGAAAAAATTAAAAGTTGAAACATTAACTAAGCCTTGGAAGAGTCTCCTTTCAGCGCAAAGTTTAGTAACAAGTTTACATTTCCTTCTCTATGGATCCAGTTACACTACTCGGTCTTATAGTAAGTAACATTGACATAAACACATTGTAAATGCTATTTACTAGATTTCTGCTTTTAGAAACAATGTATAGATAAAGCATGGAGGAGTTAATTATAGTTAGAGAACAATCTACAGATATTAACAATGTAAAAACATTCCTTCTAAAAACTGGGTGGTCGAGGGAGTGAAGAGTGTTGGGGAAAAAAAGCGCAAATAAATTTCCCATCTTTCACAGCAGGGAGCTATAACTCAAGATATAGAAGTTTACATGTATTGAAATTATAATAAAGGCAACCATGATAAGAGGGAAACATTTGCAAATAAAAATTCGGGCATGTGTGAGAGAGAGAGAAGGTGGAAGATAATGTGTGCTCTAAATTCTTAATCTTTATTTGTGGGGAGTCTGAATCAATAAAGGCTATTATTTATTTATAATGATAACAATGAGAAAAACTGAAGTAAACAAAACAAAACCCTTGGCTTCTGGGAAGTCAGAGTTTATGTTCATATCTACTGTTTGTAGTTTATTTTTAAAATATGTGCATGCATTATCTATCATTAAAAATCTAAAGTAATATGAATGAAGAAGTCAATAGGTTAGTATATAGAAATAAATAGTAATATATGGGAAGCACCCAGCACGTAGCAGGCACCCAAGAAATTATAGTTTTTATGGCTGTTATTACAGATTTTGTTGTTTTTGTATGTGGCAGCTAATGTCAGCTGAGTTCTCTCTGCTCCTTCGGATGTAAGTAAAATTGGCTCAAACCCACCTTCTGTGCCATGTGGCAGCCTACAGCGTGTCCCACGGTTTCTGCAGATGCCCAGGGCATCTTCTGGCGGTTGTTGCTGTGTCTGGGCTCCTTCTTTCATTGAATTGAGTTTCTGAATCTCATTGAGCTCTGCTTGTCATCCCAGTTCATGTTTTGTTTAATCAGACACTCAATTCAATCCAATTCTATGATTTCTACTAAAAGCACCCAGTCACACGACACCTTTGAATATGTAAGTTTGAGGAGGCTGAAGAAGGTAAGTGACAGGGACAGTTTACACCACCAAGATGCCATTTCAAATTGAATATCCGACATCTCCCCTTGGCACTGGTCACCCACGTTTTCACCACACGCTAGCACTGCAGTCTTGTGGTCTTGCCTGGCCATTCTCTCCTTCTCTCTCTCTCTTCTCAGCCCTCAGTTCTGATTGCTCGGTTCCTTTTACTTTGTCCTGCAGAGCCCTGTAGCTCCTACTCCCAGAGCTGGCTCGAGGTCCAGCTCCAGATCCGGCTCCAGAGCTGGCTCCAGACCTGACGCCAGGCGCTCCACGGCAGAGCCCACCCCACCAGGACAGTCAACAGATCAAGGGCCTATTGTAGAGAAAGTAGTGACGGTAAAACGATTTTTACATTCAGTATATTTTCTCATTGCTGTCTGCTTTCTTCATCATCGGAGCGGTATAGTAGTGAAAATTCATCTTAATGATCATTTAAAATAAAAGGTTTTTTTAGGGCTTGTGACTTCACTGGGTGATAACTGTCCACTTCATTAAAAAAAAGTATAATGGTAAAATTTGACCAATATACAAGTACAGAGTAATTAAAAAATAGTAGTAAGAAAGTTGGTTTTAATGGGCTGTAATTGTCCAAATGCAAATACAGTGTGTAAACACTAGATTTATAAATTAGATAAGGCAGAGGAGACCCCTGTGGGACTATGGTTGGTGTATTTCAAGTGTCAGTTGCCTTTCGATAAGCTGCAGAAAAACATCATCTTTAGGCATTGATTTAAAATGTTTATTTACCTTTATTTATTTATTTTTTTGCCAGGTTAGGTATGCAACACCGGTTGTGGTGCATAAAGAAAAGACGGTAAAACAATCAGTGGCTATGGTATAATAATGACTAATATGACCATTATTAATCTAATTATTGTTTATATTGTTGTGGGCTATTCTTAAAAAGTAGCAATGATTTTGAAAGCTATACCAAGAATCAGTCTTAGGGAGAGATAGAGGACCCGATTGCCTCTAGAGTATGATTCTGGGATACGTTCCTGCTGCACCCAAAGAAATCTCTCTCATTTATTACATGCACAATTCCACTGTTAGAGATTCATTCATTTGGCTAAACATTGTCCCCTTGTAAAATATAAACCTTACTGAGAAATGACATAAAGCTCCAATGTGGTTGAGTTGGTCAGATCCTTTCCTGAGGACAGTTTTGATAGAAAGAGGAAATAGAATAACTGGGGACAACTGCAGCCTGTGATGAAGAGCTGGAGAGGCCACAAGTAGGAGAGGGAAAACAAGATTTAGAAAAAAGGATACCTAGTAGGGGGGGAGTGATGAAAATAAATTTTAGTTGCTTCATAGTATTGTCTAGAGCTGGCTGCCTTTAAGTGAATCATTTACAGGAAATGGAGGCATAAAATCTTAAATTCTTCCATTTTATGAGAATTTGCAAGTCAATGTAATGCATTGTTCCCTTGAATGATTTTTTTTTTTTTTGGTGGGGAAGATGAGCCCTGAGCTAACATCTATGCCAATCCTCCCCTTTTTGCCAGAGGAAGATTGGTCCTGGGCTAACATCCATGCCCATCTTCCTCTACTTTATATGGGATGCCGCCACAGCATGGCCTGACAAGCGGTGCGTCAGTGCACGCCCGGAATCTGAACCCAGGCCACCAGCAGCGGAGCGAGCACACTTAATGGCTACGCTATGGGGCCGGCCCCCTCAAATGATTTTTGATAGTAGTTAGACTATGCGCGCTATTTAATAGAAATAGTCTTGCAGATTTATGGAGAAACTGGATGTCTTGTTCATGTAATTAACTTTGTGATGTGTTTTCTATTGAAAGACTGAAAACAAACGTTTTCTGGAGGAGCAAATAGAAATATTAAAGGCTAATTTAGAGAATGAGAAAAAGAAGACAGAAAGGTACTGGTAATAATGATTCATAATTGTTCATTTGTAGCTAATACAATATTTAACCATCTACAAATCTATTACAGGTTTAGGAAGGAATCAGAACGGATAAACAAAATCTGGGAAAGGAAATTCTTTGTTCTCAGGAACAGGTATAGTGTAGTGATATATACAAATTCTATTTATAAAAATGTAACTATCTTTTAAGGAAATTGGGAGCCTTGTATTTTTCTGTACATATTAACTAAGATAAAATACCCTTGTGCACTTTTAATAAGAAATGTAAAATAATTGGCCTAAAATAGAAGAGTAGTCAAAGTTACTTCGAAGAAAAAATAATTCAAGTATCTGTTTCATTCCCCATATCAGTGTTTCAACTTTAAAGGTCAACAGGACAGACAGACTCTCTTGATACCTGGTCTAATTAGACCTACACAGTTGCTTCCCCCACCAGGCTATTAAAACGTCCTTCGGCTCATTTGCACATAATAATGTTTAACTGGTCTTTATCTTCTTTGTAAAATTGCTTTATATACTAGATCCTCTTCCCTTTTCCAGACAAAACAACACCACCTCCTTAATTCTCAGATCTATTTCTCATTCACATAAACATTTTAGTTTCTCTTCCCTGTGTTATCTTTGTCTTTCTAAAAATGGAGAAAGTGACACTGGAAAATTCTGAAAAGACTAAAAGCAATGCTAAGTAGAGAAAATTGCCTACTTTTTTCCCCTTGTCCTAACATGTTCATGTTAAAAATCTATATTCTGGAGCCGGCCCCGTGGCTTAGCTGTTAAGTGCATGCACTTGGCTACTGGCGGCCCAGGTTCGGATCCAGGTGCGCACTGACTCACCACTTGTCCGGCCAAGCTGAGGTGGCGTCCCACATACAGCAACTAGAAGGATGTGCAACTATGACATACAACTATCTACTGGGGCTTTGGGGAGAAAAAGGGAAAATAAAGGAGGAGGATTGGCAATAGATGTTAGCTCAGGGCCGGTCTTCCTCAGCAAAAAGAGGAGGATTATCATGGATGTTAGCTCAGGGCTGATCTTCCTCACCAAAAAAAAAAAAAAAATCTATATTCTATTCTCTTGTTTCTGCCGTAATTTCTCCCGGATTCTCTTCTTTGTCACATATTGGAAGTTGCTTTGCAAGATTTCCTCATAGTCAAGCATCATTCAAGACAAGACGGGTTCAGTTTTGGTCTGATGTCATAGGTCAAGCTTGAGGTCACACATGACTTCATGGGACGATAATGCCCAACGTTTGCTCTGCATTTCATAAGCAAACATTGTGTATTATATGTGTGTGTGTAGAAAATTCTATACACTGCTGTATACATTACACTGAAATAATCCTCGATGGCACACCAAGAATTCACATGACAGAAACACCACCAGATGGTGACTGAGAGATCTCCTCCTTGTGCTAAAACATGCTGCTTTGCACTCCTGCTTGTGTTTCACATCTGTGCTGATAACTACTCTGTGCTCTGAAAAAGGTGCATTTTTTTTCAATTATTTTATCAAGGTCATATTGGCTTATAACATTGTGTAATTTCAGGTCTACATTATTGTTTGTCAGTTTCTGTATAGACTGCATCGTGCTCACCACCAATAGTCTAGTTTTTATCTATCATCACACACATGTGCCCCTTTACCCCTTTCACCCACCCCCCACCCCTTCCCCTCTGGTAACCACTAATCTGTTCTCCTTATCCATGTGTTTGTTTATCTTCCACATATGAGTGAAATCAGGCAGCATTTGTCTTTCTCTCTCTGGCTTATTTCGCTTAATATAATACCCTCAAGGTCCATCCATGTTGTTGTAAATAGGACGATTTTGTCTTTTTTAAGGCTGAGTAGTATTCCGTAGTGTGTGTGTGTGTATATATATACCACATCTTCTTTATCCAATCATCTGTCGATGGACACTTGGGTTGCTTCCACATCTTGGCTGTTGTGAATAATGCTTCAGTGAACATAGGGGTGCATAAGTCTCTTTGAATTGTTGATTTCATGTTCTTTGGATAAATATCCAGTAGTGGGATAGCTGCATCATATGATATTTCTATTTTTAATTTTTTGAGAACTCTCCATGCTGTTTTCCACAGTGGCTGCGCCAGTTTGTATTCCCACCAGCAGTGTATGAGGATTCCCTTTTCTCCACATCCTCTCCAACATTTGTTATTTCTCATCTTGTTCATTATAGCCATTCTGACAGGTGTAGGGTGATATCTCATTGTAGTTTTGATTTGCATTTCCCTGACAATTAGTGATGTTGAACATCCTTTCGTGTGCCTGTTGGCCATCTGTATATCTTCTTTGGAAAAATGTCTGTTCAGATCCTCTGCCCCATTTGTTGATCAGATTGCTTGGTTTTTTGTTGTTGAGTTGTATGAGTTCTTTATATATTTTAGAAATTAACCGCTTGTCAGATATATGATTTGCAAATATTTTCTCCCAGTTGGTGGGTTATCTTTTCGTTTTGTTCATGGTTTCCTTTGCCTTGCCAAAGCTCTTTAGTCTGATGTAGTCCCCAAAAATGTGCGTATTAATACCTGCCCTAACTACCTCCACAGTTATTATAAGGACAGAATATAAATACAGGTGAAACGAGACTGAGAACAAAGGAAAGCTTAAACACGCACTTAATTTCGTTTCCCCACACATGGATTTTGGACTATCTCTGAAACTGCGTAGAATGTCTTTCTCTTACTTATTTCTGTGGGGTTCACTTTCTTTCTTTGTTTCTTTTTTTTGTGTGTGTGAAGAAGATTGGCCCTGGGCTAACATCCGTGCCCATCTTCCTCTACTTTATATGAGACACTGCCACAGCATGGTTTGATGAACGGTGCGTTGGTGCGCACCCGGGATCCGAACTTGCAAACTCCGGGCGCCAAAGCAGAGTGCGCGAACTTAAGTGCTATGCCACCGGGCTGGCCCCCTCACTTTCATCTTTAAGGTTTACCTTGTGTCTCTCCCTGTGGATTCATCCTGTACTTCAGCTACCATTTACAAGAGCGTCTCCGTTTTACTTCAAATTGATTTGCTACTAACCAAGATATTGACAATTATATTCATAGTTTTGGTCTTTGCAGACTTTATATCTAAATATTTAAGACCAAGGCAGTATTATTACATACTTTCTATGTTTTCTCATTTAATCTACTAACTAGGACACAATATTGGGACATAATGCGTTTGGTTGCATCACCGAGTGTTAATTCAAGGTGATAGATGCAACAGCAGCTTTATTCATAATTGCCAAAACTTGAATGCAACCAAGATGTCCTTCAGTGGATAAATAAACTATGGTACATTTGGACAATGGGGTATTATTCAAACTAAAAAGAAATGAACTGTCAAGCCGTGAAAAGACATGGAGGAAACTGATAGGCATGTTACTAAGTTGAAGAAGCCAAATTGAAAAGGCTACATACTATTTAATCCAACTATGTAATGTTCTGGAAAAGGCAAAACTATGGAAAGAACAAAAGCATGAAAGGTTGCCAGGGGTTAGGAGGTAGGGAGAGATGAACCAGTGGAGCAGAGAGAATTTTTAGGGCAGTGACACTATTCTGTATGATACTACAATGGTGGATACATGTAATTATATGTTTGTCAAAACCTGTAGAATAGACAACACCAAGAGTAAATCCTCATGTAAACTAGGGGCTTTGAGTGATAACGATCTGTCAATGTAGGTTCATTGATTATGACAAATGTGCCACTTGGGTACAGGTTGTTGACAGTAGGGGAGGCTGTGTGTATGCGGGGGCAGGGAGTATATGGGAAATCTCTGTACTTTTCTCCCAATTTCGCTGTGAACTTAAAACTGCTCTAAAAAATAAAGTATATTTTTTAAAAAAAGGAAAAGGGAAAAAGAAGCTAAGCACGTAACCAAACTAAGGTTATCAGTCTGAAGATGCTGATCAGAGAAGTAGGATCCACAATGAGTAGCGACTGGGGACTCCAGGATTAATGTGGAGATACACAGTAGAGTGTGGAGAAAGGTCCAGTGTCTCTGAAGGGTACAGCAGTACTTTTTTCTGATTCTTGTGGTTTCCTAGGCTGAGTGTGGGAAGAAGGATATTAAGATCACAAGCTAAACCCAGAACTTAGATCTATGTGATTTTTTCCAACTTCCCTTCTTAGCTAAGGCCGCCTCCTAATTTGCTTCATTCTTGGCATATATTAATCCATTCCTAAATATCTTAACCCAAAGTACTCCCCCCAGTTTATCTAGCCTACTTCTCAGAAGATGTACTTCTAGTTATTTGGATACAGATCCTTTCTCAAGCAAGCTTCTTCAACTAGGAAAGTTACATTAGGTGAAAAATCCAAAGAGTCCTCTTTGCTCGTATAGGTGCAACAAAATGATTAATCTCAAAGATGCCTGCCATGAAATGGTTAACACGAATGCAGTTTCAAACTGGCAGAGTAGCCTGAACATCTTCACTCTTGTATCTCAAACTATGAAGTCATTCTCATATTTTTATAAAATTGAAGATTATGCCACACTATTTTTTAAAAATTCCACTCATATTGCTGTGTGTAGAGACTGCATAATGTTCGTTAATATGTCTTTACCTCATGTCACTAATCTCCTCCTCTAGTGGTGGACAGTCAGGTTTCCTCCAGCTCCCTGTGACCCCTCATCCTCTTAAGTCTTGGTGAGAGTTCCTTTGGTACCAATGGAGTAGGGTTGTTGGTCCTATGATGGTGAACAAGCATCTTGCTTTGCCCAGCATGATTCTGGTTTAAGCTGGTTGTCCAGTATAATTATCAATAACATTTCCTTCCATTCTCAAATGTGTCCTCATTTGGATGATAAGTCAAATGGTCACCCCAGTCATGGTATGCAGGCTACATTGTTCTCCAGAAAGGCTGTAACAGTTTACACTCCCAATAGCAGCCCAGTAAGGTTACTATTTCCCTTTTCTAGACTCTGGAGCTAGAGCAGTAAACAAAATACATCAAGTCCCCGCCCTCTTGGAACTTACCTTCTATTGGGAGGAGACACAATAAACAAGTGAATATATAATGTCAGATTATGACATATTATATGAGGTAATATGTCATATTATATGACACATTGTGCCCCTGCAGGATGGGGTAGGAGTTGCTAGTTTAGAGAAGGCCTGTCTA